AGTAAAAAGTCCTGGACCGGTAAAATACCGAAAACTAGGCATTTTTGAAAGAAATGTCGTATAAAAATTGTAGCGTTTTAAATAATCTATTTACTGATCTGTGGTCAGTCTGGATCTTGAGTGGCGTTGCCAAGGTCAGATCAAGGTCACATCGATTTTTTTAAGTAATACGTTCTATTTTTAATTTCAGAATCTAATAGCTGATGTGTCAAGAGCTTTTCAAAACTGCCATAAAGTTATTTTTTATTAAGTACTTTTCGACGAGTTATGAGATTTGAAAGTCACAGTGCATTAGCATTACGCAAGGTGTCCGATCGACGACTAAAACATCTTGAATGTTGTTCAGGATAATATTCGACAAAATCAAGGCCATTGGAGCTCTTATTTTTATTTTTGCATTAAAAATTTATTTTTACGTATTCTTTGAAAAGTATTTATAAAGTAGTGTATCAAAAGGGAAAGAAAGGGAAGCAACTATTATTTAGTCGAATTCTCTCCTAGTATTTTAAAGTAAAGAAATGCGCAGGACATGAATGATCCAGACTCAATCTTGTATACTCAAAATTATCTGTTATTACTGATGAGATATTGTGTTTATTAAACGAACACATCAGTTTAGAACGGATTGCATTTTGTGCACAAAATTCTAAATTGCAACACGACTCATTTATCTTAAGATTTTCTGTTTAAAAAAATATATTTAGGTACATATGTATATGCATACAAAAATATGGATGGTGTAAAGGCTTAGGATACTCAGATGGAATGTCAGAGATTCGGATTTCACTCGCGACCAAAGTAATATTTTTTGTTACAAATTTATTTACAGATTTTCAGCACATCAACATCTCTCTTTATGTCTGACTACAAAGCATCAAATTAATAAGTTGCTTGTCAATTTAATTTGTGATATTACAGTAGTTCAGATACATATCTAATTGTAAGTCCGAAAAACCAGTTTGACATGTAGTTCAAATGATTACCCACATACAGTGAGAGCAAAAAGTATTCGTATAAAAAAATTTGTTATAAAAAAAAAGTCTTATTTGTAGAAAATAAACATTAATTTTCTTCTAACACAAACAAACGAGCTTCGCATGTATTCCTGATTTTAGAAGCTAAATTTCTCGTCTGAATATTTTTTGAGCATTCAAACAATACAATTTTTAATTTTCGCTTATTTTTCAGATGATATATTTTGTATAATTAATACACATCCATTTTGGTATATATATAATTTTAAGAAACATACAATCTGTTTTATTCTTTATGATTAAATTGTTAATTATCCAACAAGAAATGATCGTTAATTAAACGTCGAATCGACGTCAAATTGGTGTTGAAATCATCGAATTTATATCGATTCGACATCAATTCAGATACTCATTTCTCGCTGGATAATATTTACTTTTTAACAATAAAGTTTTTTTAAAAAATATTTTCTCTGTACTTTTTGCACTCACTGTATGTAGTTTATAAATTTACTATTATAATTATTTAAGCGTCTATGATTCAGGTACGATCATTATAGGCTTTCATTCTTGTTGTGTATTTACATTATACGCTCTTAATAAATCGTTTATTATGAAGCTGACACACCCCATTATCAAAATTTTGATTTAATTAATAAAGTTCTGGCTCTTCCCCAAAGAGTTCTAGAGTTCCTGATTAGTTTTGAAAAGAGTTCTGACGATTAAATGCAAATTTCAAATCACTTTTTTTGCATTTTAGGTGCCAATTTCACGTTTTCACGAAACGAAAATTAAACATAACTGTTTTATTTCAAATCAGAGCGAAAAAAGTCACTATACTATTTAATAGAACTCTTGTAGCGCTATCCAGAACTCTCAATAAAATACCGGATTTCCGCAAAAAATTTTTGATCTGTGTGGACTTAGAAAAATTCAAAAGTTGAAAATTCAGAATTTTTTTAGTGCTTTCTTTCTGGATAGCGCTATAAGAGTTCTAACGATTATCATTAGTAATCGAGGCACTAGAATCAAAACTGGACGATATAGTCAATTATTATAATAATATTATTATAGTATAACTTATAGTCAATATTTGTTTTCTGGAGTGAAATATTCCAAGTACCCAGACGTGAAAATTTTTTTTCAGATTTCCAGCAATTTGATGAGAGTTCTAATGATTATCTTTAATAATCGAGGCGCTGAAACCAAAATTAATAGTTATCGGTATAATTTTCACGTTGAAAAATCGAATTAAAAAAATTTTTTTTAGAGTTCTGAATAACGCTACAAGAGTTCTATCAAATAGTACAGTACTTTTTTCGCTTTGATTTGAAATAAGAAAGTTACGTCTAATTTTCGTTTCGCGTTGGCACCCTAAACTTTCAAATCACATTTTTTTGCATTTAATCGTCAAAACTTTTTTCAAAACTATCAGAAACTCTAGGACTCTTTGGGGAGAGCCAGAACTCTATTAATTAAATCGAAATTTTGATAATGGGATGCCAGCTTCACAAAAGTTCATTATTGTATATATACAATATTAAATATTTATGTATTCTTCACGCCAAATCGGACGGCCTTTGTCACTGACTTCTGACAATTTTTTTACTGATTTTTTAATATATTCCACAGATTAAAATGTGTATTTAGTTATTTCTTAAGATGTTTATCTCCTAGATATGAATTTTTTAATATTTTCAATTTATTTTATTTAGCAAACGTTTAGTTAAACATAACTTCTGTTTAAATTATTGAAAAACAAAAATTAACTATAACAATTCTGTTTAAATCAGAGCTGGGATTTAGTTGCATATTTCGGCCGATTTTCAGCTTAGGGGCTTCCTTACTTCACCAACCCTTGCGTAGGCTGAATGCCGATCGACCTGTTTTGTACTGGAAAACAAAAAATGAAAAAAATTTCAAGTTTTTATTTCTATTCGAAAAATTTGATTGAAATTAACAAAATCAATTTTTATCAAGTCATCGACATTTTTAATTTTTATAAAAAAATGTTCCAATATTCTTAGTAAAATACAAATACTTCAAGCCATATTTGATTATGGTCAAAATTTCCATGTTTTTTAATTTTTGAAAATATTAAATCTATTATTTAATATAGATTTTTTTTGAATTTGCTGATGAGTTACATAAATCAAATTATTTTATAACGATACTAGAGAATATATTTTTGATTTCACAATTATTTAGGGAATAAGAATTTATAAAAATATTATCTGAATAAAATAACATTTTTTAGAATATGCGAGAAAAAAATTAATTAATAAATATTGGATCATTTTTATTTTTCAGATTTTTTTTCTTACCCTTGTACCCTTTTTTTTTTATAATCCAAAGAAAATTTTTTTACAAGAAACGTACCATTTTTTAAGGGATAGTACTTTTTGAGTTTCAGATACAGGCTTTGCTCTTTTAAATCAAAACGCAAGATATTTTTTTGCTAAATTATATTCTTCTGTTAATGAGAACTTTACTGTGATATTTGATAAATTTATTGGATCTGACGCCCACTCGAACAGTTCATGTATTAGAGTAGTTATCTGGCAATCAGATGGGCGTTGAAGGCTTGCACGAATAGTCATTCTTTTTATCGTACCTATTCCGTCATATGGATCTTTGCCATGCCTGTGACAAAAAATGCCATTCAGCCGGCATTCCAAAATCTTCTTCATGATAATAGATATTTGTAAAGTTCTTAAAATTTTTGAATTGTTCAGAAGCACTACCAGAAAAATAGTATATTTTAAAAACGCCCACTTGAAATCTTGAAAGAAATCTTATAAATTGATTGATAATTTTGAAAAACACTAAAAAATGGCTATATTAAAAAATCAGTAAAAAAATCGAAAGGGTCGGTGACGAAGGCCGTCCGATTTGGCGATTCCACATATATTTATTACGCTTTATATTATTTATAATATTATTGAAAATCGTAAATTATATTCCTGAAATTTTAACTTGACACATTTTATACGATGAGGAAGAATGCAGACTTTGTCCGAAGGACGGAAAGAGAAGCGTAAGAATTGAATGTAATAATATTGTGTATATTTTCGACGAATGATAAGGAGAAATAACTTTCTTCTTGTTTAGTTTCTATCGCGACGGATCTCTCGAGGCATCATTTCGAATTCTACGAAGTGCCGCGCTAAATCTTGTAACGTTGATCAAATATTTGTTATCCTCGTTTGAGTGAATTCCGTAACTTCCGGCAGTTTTCAATCCAATATTTCGTACTGTCCATTCGCCTTCGCCAAGATGTTTATGACTTATTTACTTCAGAATCCAATAGACGTAACATCTTTAAGGATAAAGTCTTTCACAAATAATTTATTATATTTTTCAGCGAGTGTAACTTATTAATTAAATTATTCATGGAATATTTTATTTCAACTTTAAAATTATAATTTTTATACGCGCTTTTTTTATATGCGATTTTATGTTTTTAATATTTTGTGACATATAATATTTATTTAAGAATTTTAACAAATTTTAAATGAAGTATTATAGTTATATCTGTTAAATGCAAGTTTACGGTTTTTTCCCTAAATGTATGATTTTAACATGTCACTTTATCGTCGAACAGAAGTTACACTGACATTGAATAAAACATATTTTATCGCATTTTTAATATATCTTTTGACGCACAATCGCACACACGCAGAATTACTGCACAAATTTCATTCGAGTTCTAATTAATGGTCATCAAACAGGAAAACTATGCTCGTATTCGTTTTTAATTAACGTACAGCGTCATAGATGAAAATTGGAGAATTCTGCCGTGACGATAAATTTTTCGACGATAAAAATTTAAAATAATTTACAAAAATACAAAAATAGAGAGATACGAATAATAAAATATAATAAAATGGCTAGAAAATAAAAGCTGCAAGTTGTTAAAAAAATTTTTTTAATTGCAATAAGTTCTTTTTTATTGTTTACTTGACATATTTTACTTGACATATTTTGACGTTTTTCGTATGTATGAAAATTTTCATATTTTTTGGATAGGTGGTGGTGACAGCAATAAAGGAAAGAGTAAGAAATGGCGGAAGATACTTCAGTTCCCACACATTTCCCAATGCATCGGCCTAAAAGATAAACTGGGTGAGTCAGTAATAATTGAGGTCACAAAAACTTTGAAATAAAAAAAGAAATTATAATAAAAAGCTATTTTACCTAAAAAAATATTTTGCGGTCGTAATTTTTTTTGACAATGTAGATGTTGTGTATAAAATAGCCGCAGTAAAAAACTACTTAATAAATCTGTGCGATTATTGAATCTCGAGTTTGCACTGCGATGTAATGCGCATTATGCAGTTGAAAAAACGCTGCAAAGGGCGGAGAAACAATGTTCGTTGCGTGTCCCGTTAACCTACTCTGATAACGCTCTCCCTCGATTTGAAATAATGAAAACTTGCGAATAAATAAGACTTTTTCTCGCGAATATGAGCTATATAAAATACGCAAGAAATTATTTTTTCTACTATTAGAAGTCGTTACTCTAAATTGCAATAATATTAAGAAGATTTTGATGAATTTATTGTTCTACTATTGAATTTATTTACATAATTATAAATTCGAAAGGGGATTATAAAATCGCTAATTATTTAAATAAGATTTTTATATAGTTTAGACTTATTTTATTTTGTGATGTAACTTTTAATTGATATTGTGAGGACGTACAGAATTAATTTTCAAAAGCATATAAATTATTAAAAATTGTCTTTAGTTGGATAAATCTATCCAAGGATGTTTCCGTTTATTTTTCCAACAGTAAGAAAAAGTAGACAGAAATCTTTTCAAGCAACAAGCAAGTAGCGTTCTACGACCTAATTTTAACAGGGTCAATTAATTAGATTTTACGAGTATAAATTAAATTTATTTAAAAAATTTATATTCGCGCGCATGACGTACATACCGGAAAAATAATCAACGTAATTCACGATGTCGGACAGACATCAGGTACAGTTATGTGGTGGACCAGCAGCCGATTGGGCGGCTGCTCTTCCGACAATTCTGCCAGGACAAAAAGCCAGCCTATCATCGCTACAATCTCTTTCTGGACGCGATCGAGAAGTACGAGATTGAGCTGGATGAGAATCGCATCGATCTGGCGAAAGAGCTGTTTGAGCAGTACCTGAAGCGGGAGGGTTCGGAGGTGGTTGACATTCTGAACGATTCCTTAATCTCTCAGTGCGAGGAACGACTCAGCACCGGCGGCAAGGAACTCTTCACCGAGGTCGCGCAGACCGTGAAAAACTTCCTGGCTGGCGAGCCGTTCTCAGCCTTCCTCAGCAGTTTCTACTTCTACAGGTGAAGTGCCAATGAATAAATTATGTGGCAGATAGATAATGTAAATTCGTAGGAAAGAATTTTTTTTCGATGAGAATCCGATTCTGACTACGTGAAAGAATTGAGAAATAGAGAGACGTTTTTTTCTACGGTTCTTCAGGTATCTCCAGTGGAAATGGCTGGAGGCACAACCAGTGACATACAAGACCTTCCGGATGTATCGGGTATTGGGCAAGGGTGGCTTCGGGGAGGTCTGCGCTTGCCAGGTACGCGCCACCGGTAAGATGTACGCGTGCAAGAAATTGGAGAAGAAGCGCATCAAGAAGAGGAAAGGCGAGTCGATGGTACTAATAGAGAAGAACATTCTGCAGAAGATCAATTCTAAGTTCGTCGTCTCGCTCGCGTATGCGTACGAAACGAAGGACGCTCTCTGCCTCGTGCTGACTATCATGAATGGCGGCGATCTCAAGTTCCATATTTACAATATGGGTGGTGAACCAGGCTTTGACATAAATCGCGCCCGATTCTATGCGGCCGAGGTTGTGTGCGGTCTGGAGCATCTTCATCTTCAGGGTATCGTCTATAGGGACTGCAAGCCGGAGAACATACTGCTGGACGATCATGGTCATGTGAGAATATCCGATCTCGGTCTCGCGGTGGAAATTACGGAGGGCGACATGGTGCGCGGTAGGGTCGGCACGGTGGGTTACATGGCGCCTGAGGTGATCGACAATGAGAAGTACACCTTCTCGCCAGATTGGTTCAGCTTTGGCTGCCTATTGTACGAGATGATCGAGGGTCAAGCGCCGTTCCGCGCTCGCAAGGAGAAGACCAAACGCGAGGAAATCGACAGACGCGTCAAGGAGGATCAAGAGAGGTATTCGCCCAAGTTCAGCGAGGATGCCAAAAGTCTGTGCCAACAGCTGTTAAAGAAGAGCCCGAAGAACAGGCTGGGTTGCAAGTGCGGTCGACACGGGGCGAAAGAGGTGAAACTCCATAGCTTCTTCCAGTGCCTGAATTGGAAGAGGGTCGAGGCTGGTATGTGGGAACCGCCGTTTGTGCCAGACGTAAGTAGATGCTGTTTGATGATCGATCGTCTAAATCCACATCGAGGTTTCATGTTTTCATTTTTATCCTCGTACAATCTATTTGTTCGTCTATTTAAATTCCGTATATGCGAGAGTTTAGATTAAGTTTGCATATAAATTATAGCTGTATATACAACTTTAACACTAATTTCGATAATTATACTAAATCAGTATAATATTTACAATTTTTAATTAGCATATATTGTCATTATAAATTGAGATGGTGTTTTAAGAAATCGCATAAATTTGCTAAAAATTTTAACGTTATAATATTATTTTTATTTTATTATATTTTTGTGCTAGTAATAAATTGTCCGTTTTGTATAGAAGATTTAATGTATACGCAAAAACATTGAAGGTGGTAAGAATACGAAAATTATTAATCGTTGATACGTTTATCATTACAGCCTCGTGCGGTTTATGCTAAAGATGTTTTGGACATTGAGCAGTTCTCCACGGTGAAAGGTGTTAATTTGGACGCCACGGATGATACCTTCTACAGCAAGTTCAACACCGGCAGCGTGTCCATTCCATGGCAAAATGAGGTAAAATAACCGTACACGTCACATTTGTATCATAATCACCGATTGAGTGAGACATATTGCGCGTCGGGAATAAGGCCTTTGACCTTTCCTATAAAAATAATATTGTTGCTATGTAGCACACAGTAGATGACCAGTTAATAAGATCTCCATTATAACATGAATGTAAATCGCATTCTTCGACCACCTACGCATCTCAAGCGCTTATATTGATATTGATAGTACTTTAAAGGATCCCTATATAAGACATCTATATAACCCAAGATTATATAAATTTAGATAAGATGTTTCAAAATAATTTTAACAATATTTTTAATAAATTTAATTTTCCTCTTTGTTTAGATTTTAACTTTTGTCAGAAAAATTTTGAAAGATAATAGTCTCTCCGTTCATTGAGATTGAAATTATTATTTTCCGATTTTGATCGTAAATTTCTGCCATCCAAACGGATTGTGCACTAAAATAAAAAATCAAACAATATTTAGCTATCAACGTTTTAGCAAACATAATTTTTAATTATGTATACAAAGATATTACATAAATGACATTTTCTCATCTCTTAAGTAGATATATAAACTCTAGTCTTTATCTTGTTCTGATTTTTTACGGCGAAACTTAAGAAATGAGAAAATGTCATTTACGTAATATCTTTCTAAGATTATATACAAATAATGTTTTTAATTTGCTAAAAATCTCAAAATGAAATTCTGAAAAAGTAAAATTCAATTTGAATTTAAAGCGTAGCAAGGAAATAATAAAATCTCGTTATCTAATTGCACTTCAGAGGATTTTGCTTCGTTTCGTTTTCTGAAAATATTACATGTGCATGCAGAACATCTGGAGAGCGGCATTTGGATCAAAAAATATAGAGCTCATGCAAAGTGTTTTCCTACGTCAGAGGCAACGCAAGAGGCTCGTTATCACTGGCGTTATTCGAGTAGATGTATTTAAAGCCGCGATGCTGCATAAGACGCATTACGCACGAGCCACCTTTAGCTTCTGCCTATGTTAAATCACTTACTACGCACCTCGCGGAGGTTGAGATTGTCAAATCACAATCTAACGCGCTTCATTTCTTCCTCTTGCAGATGATAGAGACTGAGTGTTTTAAGGAACTGAATGTATTAGGTCCTAACAACACGCCCACCCCAGACTTATTGATAAATCATACACCGCCCAACAATGACGACAGAGGCTGCTTTCCTTTTCGGAGAAAGGTAGTATTTTTCGAAATTTTGAGTTTCGTAAAATTATTTAAAATCTAATTTCGAAGAAAAGCAACAGTAAATCTCAGACACTCTCAAAAAACATTTGGAGAATCGAAAGAGATTTTGAATACTTTAGGACATTTAAAAAAATGTTTTAATTTAAAGAATAGCCGAAGAAGATATTTAGATATTTTTTTACTTTCAACTTGTGAAATATTCTTTATGTGTTATTAAATTAATTTTACGATTACTCGTGTAGGAAAATATTATACAATAATAAAATTACATTGCAATTACAGAGGAAACAGAGCGATCGCACAAGGGAGATACCGTTGTCGGAGTGCCACTTGCTGGAATTGTCGCAGACGCAGAGCTCGGAAATGCCAGCCAGCTGATCTATGGTGAACAAGAATAACAGTCTGAATCGATTAATGTCGTCATCATTTCGACATTGCCGCCATCCTGACGTAACTGACGGCGCGCGTTCGAGTGCCACTGGTGGCTGCTGCGTTAAGAGCAAGCCGATCTCATTCTCTCTCTCGGTAGCACCCGAAGCCACGGCAACTGTCCCTGAAAATGGCTGCATAGTTCGCATAATAAGAAGTCGCAACGACTGCGGGTCTGAAGCATCCTCTCAGGTTTATTGGGGTGAGATCAAAGATCTACTCCAGGATAAAACATGTATTCGCGCAATTTTACGCGCGCGCTTACAGCTACGCATATGCGGCAAACAAACGCGACACACGGAAGCCAGGCGCATTGTATGTTTCTGTCAAATTCGAATGACACGTTCGTTACCAAATATATTTTCCTCGAGCTCGAACGCGGGAATGCTCGACGTGCACTTTTGCACGTCCATCAACGTATATCGACGTGTTTTATCGAGCTTCGATGTGTCCAGATTCACGAGTCGCGGGCGAGAGAAAATTTAGGGCGATATGTAGATAATGATTGTGTCACTCACAGCGCGATTACGTGGCATACGTAATATTCTGAATGCGGAAATTCGATTTTCAGAATGTATAGTCAGTGGTAACAGTAATTTCATTTCTCATTAACTATGAAATGGCGTACAAAATCTTTAATTTTAAGTTTCGGTCTTATTTTAAGTTGAAATGAACGAGTACATGTAGGTGTACGAATGGATGTGCAATTATTATTTGCAATTATTTCTTCGATACGTACTTATGAATCTTTTAAATTGACGAATACAAAAATTTAATTTATATTAATTTTCAAAGAGCATTTTCTCTTAGGATAGATGTTTATTTTATATCATTTTATTCTTAACGATTGAGGATGTTGCCATCCCATCGAAAATATCGGAGAGAATCACTTTAGCGCACGATTAAACATGAGAAATCGTGAGTATGCTGCAATTTTATTTATTATTATTCCAAATTGCTCCGAGTGTACTTTTAAATACTTCCCGAAAATTTCGAGACAATCGACGTTCCTTCGGTCTATCTTTTGGTTGTCGACCGATTCTAATGTACTGTTTCGTATGGTCGTATTTGTCTGAGGCGAATAAGCTATGTAGCCAAGAACTTTGGTCGTAATCGCGTTCGCACTTCGATGATTTATTAACGTGCTCGATAGAGCGTCTAGAATGGAACTCGCGGGGGCCAAAATAAAGTAGAAACAGCTTGTAGGCGAGCGATAACGAGCACGCACGTGGAATGGACGGGTCGTAAAAGAGCACGTGAAGAGCACGGCGCTTGTCCTCCCGCCCGCACGTCCGTTTCCTCGCTCGCTCGCTTCTCGCGTATCGCAACATTAAGCTACCGGTAAACGGACACCCGACACTACCGCGAGGCAAATAAACACTCGCGTGCACTCGCGCGTTTATAAACGTTAACCCGATATATCTGGAGGTTGTAATTACGGAGACATGTGCAACACATGATACAGCGAGTTGACGGCGCCGAGAAGACGCTACATCTAAGAGCGCGACGAGCGAATTAGTAGCGAAGTATATTGATCTAGCGTTGCTAAATGGAGACACTAGATAAGTCTTACAAAATGACGAATGATAAACTCATGATAAAATGTTCCTGAATGTTTAATAACGCTGTCACCATATAGCAACAAATATTATTAACGGTAAAAAGTAATTTTTATCTCAGACGCCTTTAACATGCTGTATAAATTGAGTTCAATCGCGAACGTGGATTAGTGAACGGTTACCGCATCTTAAAGCTGGGCAAACATCCAGAAAATAAGGAATAAAGGATAACATACGAGAATTGCATCCGTCGACAAATTGCAGTTTCCGGAAACCGCATTCGAGCGTTACATATTTTTGAAATATTGTAATAGTTTCGTGTCAGTTGTGTACATTGAGAGATTCTATCACGATTACTTTAACACGAAAAATTCCTATCTCACAATAGATTGGTCCAATATTTGAACCGATCTGAATATGATGATTTGATTTTAATAATAAAATCAAAATTTCTGACAAATTATAGATTTATCGAAAAAAAATCTGTCATTAATTAAAATTAAGATTCTTTATTTCCGAAACAAGCTTTGGTAATCTTTATTGCGTATCGCATTAAATCTTTGCACGTGCACTTTGGAAAACACTGTAAAACAAGCGAGAAGCTCTTGCGAATTGGATTAACGGGCACATTCTGATAGTTCACGCAATTTGGCCATTCTCCAGTTGCGAGTCGTGTGCCAACGATTTGAGTTCCTGTCAAAGAATTCTCTTCTGCCAGACAGTCGTCGCGAGTCAGTCGAATACGTCATCTCCCTTTGATCTTGTAAATCCGGATGTGAACGTTGATGCCACTCGAAATTCTTAACCTCATTAAGAATCTCTTGCAAAACTCGACTCCGTCATGTAAAATAATATTTAAAAATTGATCGACGTTAGATAAAAATAATGAATAAGAAAATTGATTTTTACTCTAACGATCTTTGCTATACCAAGTGAACACATTGTACGCAATTAGTCTTGAAAGTTTGTTATCAGACAGTATAGCTTCTCGTCGAGGAAGTACAAAGGTGAATAGAAATTATTCAATTAAAATAAGTGTTTGAGGAAAATTTCATACATTTATAAGCAACATCAAAAAGCATACAAATGATTTCTTATCTACTTGGTATGTTTTTTTTTTTTATTCATACGGACGGAACCGGTGTAGAAAGAGAGATACACAAATGATAGAAACAGGTTTATATGCGCATACAATTTTATGTGAAATATGAGTGAAGTAGAATTTATAAAATATATTCGAGATTTTTAAGATTGAATTCTTCGAATCGATAAGCAGAAACTTAGATTAATTTTGGTGGATTGAATGAAAGATTCTATATTTATTATCACAATTATTATGCTAAATTAATGAATTGAATATAAATTGTAGAATTTAATTGTTACTATTAATTATGATATAATATTGTTATAACATTTTATAAGACGCATAAATTACGCCTAACAATCGCCATGTGAACAATATTCCGAACAAATTTCTCTTCATGACTGCGTATAAGCTCTGTAAATTACATTTTATTGTAATTATGATAAATTTAGTAAGATTTAATTTACAGGAATAGTTGAAGAATGGAAGTCAAATAAGTGTCAGAAAAGTTGATTTCTAAATGTGTATATTTTTTATATATTAAATTTTTTATTAATATTAAAATATTACACGTATTAAATATAAATAAAAAATATTAAATATTGACATATCATATTTTAAGAAAAACAATGTTATTTTATTTGAGTTTCTGGTACAGAGAATTTAACACACAAATTTAATAAATGATACTTCCGCAAATTGTTGGATTTTAAATCTCTGTCCTTTATAATTTAAAATATTGTTTCTGACACTTGGCTGACATTTGACATTCATTTCTTAACATTCGCGTACTAATGCATAGGAAAATATATGTTTAGCGGAACGCTGATGATTGACTGAATGATGTAAGTTAACAAATAATTAAACTTCTTTGACGTCTATATGGCCTTGAATCATCAGCATGTACATGCATCGTGTGCACATAATTTATGTGAGTAACACTATCTGCAACTGTTCGAGATTGGTGTTGCGGTAAAGTAAAAAAGAAGATAGTACGACTCAACGGTCTAGATCACTTTTTGTCGGATAAACCCCAAGATAGTCACTATGTCGCACAAATCGCAATTCTCCCGACGCGAATGCGAAAGTATTATATTTGCCAAACAAAAAAAAAGCAAAAAAATCCTTACTTTTGTTAAAAAAAAAAAGAAAGGTGTAAAGTAATCTTGGAGACCAATATATTTAATAATTTACACGATCTACGTGTACAACAAATCGTAAATTATTCAATTATTACTTAATTTCATGAAAATGAATTTCTGCTAATTTGTTCTAATTTATTTATCTTCGCGTGGAGATACTTGAATGACATTAGATTGCTAATAAAATTAGCGAGGAACGTACAATTTACAATTTTTTAACGTATTATCGATTTGTAATCTTCATTTTCTTTGCTGGCAACGCACGAGTTCGCTATTCATTATATAGAGAATCTGTCATATATCTTTTAACTGTGATTTCTCAAAATGTCCTGTTTAATTTTGTTGTTAGTAACCGAATATTTCGGAAATATTTTTAAGGCTTCTTATTTCTAATTACTTCTTATTTCTAATTATTTCTTATTATTTTCCATTATTTCTCTTATTACGAGACATACCTATCATTTCACATTATTTATATAAAGACGTGGAGAAATTTGGCTCTAGCGAGATCCGTCGTGAGATCTACTTGTAGATAATAATGTCCAACTACTATATATTCACAAGAAGAATACCAAACTATTTAATAATTTTTCTAAGGAGAAATTAAGCGCGTAATACTCTCTTATTCCCATAGGAAATACATATATTTTTCTGTCTGTGTACGTAGCGTAGATAGATAGTTATACATACGATAGATTGCTGAATATACTTTTGCTAATAGTATGTTTCTCTTGTACAATTCGTATTTAAATTGTGGATCTGTGTAAGCATTTTATTTATGCGATTACCTATCTAATTCATAGAGATTCACACACGCAAGTGTATGTATGAGATAAAAAGGCGGAGGATAAATGTATATGAAACATAGTTATTTAATCTGATCCAAAAATTTGAAACATATATGAATCATAAAGGATATCCCTGATCAATATTATTCATATATAATATTTTCTGTGATTATATATAAAATCTCATCGAAATCTTCTTTATCATACTTTTGGATCATTAAATAACTCCTATTCCTGATTATTTCATAATTATTCAAATATGAATTCTCTCATTGAAGCCAGATCTAAGCGAATAATGGCCATCGATGATAAAGCGATTATCGACTAATAATTATGTAACGTTAAATTACCGACTTAAGTGATATGTCCTCCACGTTAATATTCGCCATGTCGTGTCACAATCATCGTTCGATAGTCATTCCATCCTATATGACGCGTGTAACGCATCTTCGTTTTACGGAGTGAGAGAAGAATCCGAAAAGAAAAATTAGACGATAGCTAAATATCTAGATAAGTAGACCGCTTGTTCGTGCCTATTAGGCATATGAACGAGGGAGAATTTTGCGAAGCGAGCTAGAAATACTCAGGGGCACGCTTCCGTCATTATCAGATTGAAGACGATTAACGTAAATATGCAGGAAGCGAATGCTGATCTTGCAGAAAGAGGTAAACATTAATCGGAAGACCCATCATCCGATTTTATGCGTGTTATTTCAGTGGCGTGACAGTTCTGAGGATCGCGCGGTCTCCAAATGTGCTAGTAATTTAGAACCGATTGATAATAGGTAGACGAAAAAAAAATTACCGCTTATTATTGTTATTATATTTTATTATATCTCATTCGAGTACTTCTTTTTTTCTGTACAATGTTTGTCCCGCAATTTTGCGCATCATTAGATGAGATTCGTTAAATGAGAGAAATCGAGAACTGTCGTTAGCATAAAGAGATGATAAGTAGCGAAGTTTTAAATTGATATCGCACGCGACACATATACGTATACCGGAAGAGGTGAACGGTAACGTCGGATATGATACGATTCGTCTTTTATCACGTCGACTTCCCGCTTATATTATTATATGAGTAACACATTACATGAAGAGGCTGACTGTTCTGTATAAATACGTCAGTGATAATCATAATAATATTAATAATAATATTGATAAGGACTAATTAAGCACGGATGTAAATGTACGTTTTGTACACTGTAAAAACAATACGTAAAATTACACGTATAGTGTCACAGGAGTAAAATTTACACGTCATACGATGGACATAAATTATAATTACATATACTTCTCTTATGAAATTTTACACTTGTTGCTCGTGTTATTTTACATATTATTTTTACGGTTTAGGGTGAATGAGAAATTGCGAAAAACCATGCTGTTGGAGCGACATTATCGCTGTACGTATCTAGATCTCGTCTCCCCATTCATCTTTCCTCTCGTCTTTAACGTTTGTTGCCATCGACGCCTATAATAAACGCCTCGGCACTTCGTTGCGATGTCGTATTTGCCATGCCAAGATAATGGAGATAATACGTTGATTGACTTATCACGGTGATGTTAACGCGTAATAATAATACCAGTAATATATGTAAGCGATCCAGAAATCACCGGAATAATTGTGACACCGCGATATGTCTTTCAACGACGGAAATAATGCAATTACAAGATTATTGAAGGATGATCTTCTTAATGATCGCTATATAAAATTATTCAAAAACTAACTTTTACAAATTTATTTAAAAGATTTTAGATTTAAAAATCCTTCCTCTTTGCGCGCACAATTCTAATTTTATAGTTATTTCATTTACGCACCGCGTAATGTAACACTCGAAGCGGTCCTTTATTAACAATTGCCGTATTGTCGCAATGGGAGACTGTCGCAAATCAGCTCGCCGCAGAGTTAATATGTAATTATCGTGGACGTCGTCCTGTAGATTATAGCGTGCGATATTTTAACCAGGTGAGTTTCAATAAACTTCCGCGCGGAAACGCATTTATAAACGTTTAGCTTATTGTTACCGCGAGTCTTGTGGAAAACGACGGAAACACAAATTGTAGCAAACCGAAAGCTCAATTAAGAGCGCCAAAAATTATTAATTTAAAACGTTTAATAAGCTGATTAATTAATGATTATGCGTAATATCATTTCTACGCTTGCATTCTTTCGATTTAATCGTTTTAGAGAAGGGAAATCAGAGAATTATTGCCGAATGAACGATCGTCAGATGATTGATACGGAATTCGACACACTTGTATCAATTCATTTTTGTGGAATCCTCGCGACAGATTTCGTTGTGTAGTTATTTTTCATTACGCAACTTTAGCGACGTGCGAAGTTATATGCCTTCGGAACGCGCCTTTTTAACGCGGAGTAAATTTTAAGTAAGTTTTAAGTAGACCGATGACTTGATTCGTTTCGCAGATCGACAATCTTCGGGAAAGAAGCCCCGAATAGGAAAATATAAAATAGCGTTTTGTTCCGCGAGAAGCCAAAAATTCCTGTTTTTTTCTTTTTTTTTTTTACAATTTCGATATGTTGTACGACTGCTATGGGGCAAAACTATAAATATTATACATAGAAATATATATATTATATATATTATCGTATGTAAGTTATAAATACGCGGATATCTACTGTATTTATAACTTATATGTTTATACACATGCAAATATAGAGACGTATATAATCGGACTCGATCGTCTTGTTAATGTCTTTTTGTTATCTTCTTTCCTATTGCAGTTAAAGATGGTTCGCCAAATGTCACAGTTAAATTTCTGCGATTTCGATAAGACTGATTTTACTTGATTACGAGCGAGAGGGTTGCATAATTAATATACAGGTATTTACACAATAATTATATATATATTGTCACATTTCGCGCTTTATACATATATTTTTTCTTCTTTTCCTTTTACTTTTTACGTGCTCAGATCCTAAGCTACAGTTCTTAATTCACATGATTGTTTAATCTGTAACGCGAGAAAGTGATGCTTTATATTCATCGATAAGATGATCTTCCAAAATCGACTCGAAACGCACTCCTAGGTTTCAACACACAAATTAATACAAAAGATACACTCATAATATTAATAATATTCTTACTCGCTTCCTCGCTTTCTTTCTTACCTAATTTTACCAATTCATATTAATGTCTTATTGTCACGAGTCAGAATGCCTGCTGGTATCTGTTTACTATAATATTAAAATTTTCTATCAAAATCGATGAATTTACAATGATCATTTCAAGTTTCATTAAAAGCGTTGTAATCTTATTTTTGTGTAAACTGTTCTTATTCTGATCAATAATGATATTGGTAATTATTAATTTAAAGATTTCTCAAATATATATATTCGATCAACATTTAATAGTTATAAATAGCATAAAATTTTAAATATTTGTCACAATCGAGAACGTTATTTAAAATGCGTTTTACTAACGTAATTACAAGGTCCGGTAGTTCAGTATTTTACGTAATTCCGCGCTTGCAGACATCCTGAAGAACGTTGATGAGTATTCATGATTCTCGAAACATGCATCATAAAAATATAGTTAAAACGATGAAGAATTATAAAATTATCACTTGCTGCGAGAGAGCAGCATCAACGATTCGCTTTTCGATTATGAATATACGTTCATCTTCAAGTTTGCAAAAGAAAGTTATTGTCTTGTATGCTAAGAAAAATCACAATGATAACAGCTTTACTTTATGCTATAAAAGCTATTGTAGTAAAAATGTCACAACTATATATTTCCTAATTTAAGTATATCTAATTTTTAGAGAGGGCGAACGAATCGCCGAGCTGCCTCTTAAATTCGATATTGCGATAACTAAAGCTACATGTAGGAATAATACTTAGGATAATCCTTCAATTAGGCAAGATCTCGGTTCATTAATATTATAAACACGTCTTTTGGTCCTAGAACAACTCTGCTAGAGATATGTGCAACGGTGCCATTTTCTGGTCCGAGGACTATTTTTCGTTCTTAAAAAATGAGGATGCAAAATATACAATAATAATGTCGTCAATTAAACTGAATAAAGAAGACGTTTTGCCAAAATAATTAAGAATAAAGGAAATGGCGAGTTTTTAGAGTGAAGCCGTAATCGAAATTCACCCATTGCTCCATTTTAAGCATTTTAAGCGTTATTATTCGTATACGAAAAAATCGAGACTTAAGTATAATCACAACATTTTAAGAGACACAGATGCGTTCAAAGATCGGACAACGTACACACCATTTAATCCTGGCAATAAAAATACATCTTTATGGGATCAATGGCGGGCGAAACTTCTTTTTTCATTAATATCGGGATAGATGAAGATTTTAGAAATTTAATAATCATATTTTTTGATAATCATAATTAAAATACGTTTATAAGTTCATGCGATTTTCCACACAGACAAAATAAAAAGATTGGAGAGATAGAAAAAATAATTTAACAAATAATATTGTAATTTGTCAAAAGAAAAGAACATGTATTATCTTAAATAATATTAAATATGTATTACATTAAGTAATCATAAAATTATAACATTAAATTTAAAAAATAAACTGTATGTGATATTTTTTTGTTTTATTATTAGAAATTTTTGAAAGTGCGCATGGGCTTACAAACTCTCCTAAAAATTATTTTTTTCGAAATGCGAAGCTCATCTTCTTATTCTTTAAATTGCCTGCAAACATCACTTTTTCTCCTTAGTATGTATTAAACGTAAATGGAATGTCTTTGAAGAGCCGTCTTTTTACTGCTGCCGTTTTGACAGAATCATACAAACACGCGCGCGCGCGCACGCGCGCACATATATACACACACATGTACGCATTTTATCACCTGTGGCAGTAAAATATAAAAGTATTATGCGACGTTGACAATCAAGTGCCAGCGCGTAACAAATGCACTTTTAACTTTTCGTTTCCTCATTTCAAACGCAACAAATCGCAAAAATGATCATCAAAATTAGGAATTAATTTCATTAAAATTTAATTTTCTTTTTTTAATAATAAAAGCGAAAGATAATGCGTTGAAAGTGCGTTAACGAAGAGTTAAATCTCCGCACATACGTGCGTATAGATCTCTATTAGGGATGCAAGATATTAACGATATATCAAAATATTCTGTATTTCTTGCAATAAGATACTGAGATTACAATTTTGCAACGGCCGCAACACATGTTGCTTGAAATCGCACTTTTCCGTAAAATATCCATAACAATTTTTCACGAGATACTCAATCTACTTTCTCATAAAATTTTCATAAAATAGCATTACAAAATCTCTATAGTCATATTCTATGAATATTCTTATTATAAGCATTTTCAATGAAATCATAAAAATATGCGAGAGATGAAAATATATATATGTTAGCTGTTAGTATTTACATTTAACATCACAGTTCTTTCGTTATTTCTTCTGTAATAATTTTCTCTCAAAAGTCTTTTCTCTTCAAGCGAGTTTGTAATACGTTTTGATTATTCGATAATTGAAAACGTATTAAGCTATCTCTGCAAAAAAAAAATGTATTTTTCACGGATATTAAAGTAATATCGTTTCCGGATGTTGCATCCCTAGTTTTAATCTAAAACGGTACAGATCGCGGATGTGTGGAACGAAATGAAGCGGTAAATATATGAAATGTTCGTCTTGTCAGTTTGAACGGACAATTCTCGGTTAGAGTTCAATTACAAACGCGTCCGAGCGTGCCAAAACTACAACGGCATTGAGATAACGAGGATCATGATACACATAGACAGCAAACATCGCCTATCGAACGAACGCTATGACTAACTGTAAGACTAACAGCTTAAACAGTGCTTAATTATAGTGATACTTGATTGTTACCTCAACTTTTTGGCACGTCGGTCGGATTTTTTAATTCAACTCCTCCGTTGGTTCTAGCACATTTCATTTGCACGGCGAAAGATATAATCGCGATGAGACCCGCGGTCGCAACCATTTCTCTCCTTCATCGTCTCAAATGTGATACGTATATTGCTTTGTAGGCTATTTAGAAGTATATACATATCTTTGATCACGCGATTTTGATTCATTAGTATACATTAAAATCGCGTGTAACAATTTATGAACCATATAAGTAGAGTCACTTTGAATTAAGGCTCCTTTGAGATGAATCGATCAATGAATTATAATGCCTTTGTAAGTCATGCACTGAATCTCGGTGTGAAGTGTTTCCTTTATTTAATCTCTCGTACAAACTCCAAACGTTTCCATCCTAGTTCGGATCCTTTTCAATGTCAGAAATTTACGTTCGCGTAATTATTGTGTTTCTTGATACACTATATAATATAATAAGTGAAAGCATTATAATATATTATTAATAAACGCAGAACATTGCTTAATATTTAAATTAGTATATGTACATAAAATTTAATTCAACTTACATGAGTTTTGTCAAAAGTAATGAGAATGACATGTTAATAAAACGACAGTTATAATTCATCTAACAAATAAGACAATGTGTATCGGTAAAATAACTAAACATAGATAAAAAAATATTGAAGAGAGGAAGTTTTATTTGTTAATCAATAGGTTGTCATAAGCGCTGTCTAACAGTTCAGTGTGTTCAGTCTGTAAATTTAAACTATTTTTTTGTTTGCGAATGAAAATCATTTCCGGAATAAGCCTTTTATTTAAAATTCTTTCTTCATCAAGAATCTCTATGTTCCAATCAAATTCATGTCCACGTTCTAAGCGATGGTCCGTAATTACAGAACGTTGTTGTGTTCTCCAATTTATATGATTTTTGTGTTCACCTATCCTCGTTTTCAAAGTTCTGCTCGTCTGACCCACATATGACGCATCACAGTCCCCCCGCAATTTATTTTGTACGCCATATTGTTATGGAGGTTTTCCTCCTACGAAAATTCTGACATTGACAAGGATCGAACTAGGATCGAAACGTTTGGAGTTTGTATGTGAAAGATTAAATAAAGGAAATACTTCACACCGAGATCCAGAGTACATGGCTTACAAAGGCATTAATTCGTTGAACAATTTATGGATTTATTAATTTAATTTGAGGAAGAAGGCTTGCACAATGTAATTCGCCCACATGTATTCTTCATTTAAGATCACTTTCAAATTAGCCTCTTAAATTATATACAGGATAAA